GTACGTAGCCAGATGAGACACCTGAAGCTAGGTCTTCCTGACTCACTCTCAAGGGAAGCCAGCAAGAGTTACTCCAATATGCCCATATTTATCAAGTTCATGACCCAGTGATGCATTATTCAGCAAACCTGGGTATATCTGAAATGATCTTGGACTTCCCATTTATCTTTCCTCTCCAATCCTGACCCTCGCCTCCTGCACCAGCATGAACGTTACATCCAATCTTACAGGGGTATGTACAATATCGAAATTCCAGTTATGAAACCAAGTCGCCTAGGTACACAGCAGAAACAGCTGATGAATAAATCATGGAAGTCCTAGGAAGCCCTGACAATATTTTGCTACTCTTAAAGCACCTGATTCTCATCTGATTTTAAAAGCTAAGCTTGGTCAGCATCCTTTGAGGGAAAAGAGCACATTTATTTATGCCTCTTGTCCAGAGAATCAGCCATCTATTATCCAGGTTTTGCAGAGGAGGTGGAAGTTAATAGAAGCCAGAACCACTGGTAACCGCCCAGAAGAAGCACTATGGGATTGCTGAATGCAGACATGGAGAGAGAGGCTGAGTCAGGTACACAAGCCCCAAATTCACGTACGTGGGACTGGGGTCAGAGGATCTGGGTGTAAACCCTGGCTCTCACTGCTCAGTCCCTGGGTGACCTTGGATAAGTTATTTTATCTGCCTCGGCCTGAATTTCCTCTTGAGAAATGAGAGGCTTTGGGGGGTGGCGGGCGCAGTGGCTAGAGCTCTGGCATTGGATTCAGGAGGATCTGAGTCCGAATCTGGCCTCAGGCACATAACACTTACTAGCTGTGTGACCCTGGGCAAGTCACTTCACCCCATTGCCCAACCAAAAAGAAAGAAAGAAAGAAAGAAAGAAAGAAAGAAAGAAAGAAAGAAAGAAAGAAAGAAAGAAAGAAAGAAAGAAAGAAAGAGAAATGAGAGGCTTGGACCTAGACCATCTCAAAGGTTCCTTCTGGTTTAAATCTTTGATCCTATGACCTTTGTGGTTAACCACAACCAACCCAGAGCTCAGTCATGATCCTTCGGCCTGGGAACTGGCTATGATGGGAAGGCAGAGGTATAAAAAGATCCCCAAGCAATTCATCAGTAATCAAAAGACAGCTGACTTTGACTTGTACTCCACGTTGGAGACGACAAAGGCGCTAAGCATTGTTTCTGAATACAAAGGAAAGAGAACTGGTTCCAGAGCCACAGAGGCTGAGTTCAAATCGCGCCTTTGATCCCTACTACCTGTGTGACAACTTTAACCTCTCTAAGACTTAGTTTCTTCATCTGTATAATGGGGGGGGACCTAAATAGTCTCTGAGGTCCCTCTCAGCCCCAGATCTGATTCTATGTCCCTTCCAGCTCTAAATGCTCTGCTCCCACGATCCTAGGATTATGGAATATTACCAGACTTGATTCCAAGCTAATGAAGGTTCTTCACTTGACATGCATCGAAGAGTCTTTGTGAATAGCACACGGCCCACAGAATACAGTTCATCACTTAACATCTGTTAAGTTGATTAAGCTCTCCCTCTCTTTGTCAGCTGTTCAAGGAAACATTCTAGTGAACAGCCATTCTTCTTCCCCATCCACCCTGCCAAACAGGATATTATCCTCCAATAGAGACATCACACTGCCAAACAGTGAACAGCCAGGTCAGGTTCCTGGCCTTCTTCTAAGTTCCAAACACACATTATCTGTTAATAAGAAAGACAGCAACACTCACGTTTAGTGTCTAGTTGCAATGAAAGCCCCAATCTCTTGAATTCTGTACAACAGAAGCTTCCTATTAAATGAGCATAGACTCCGAAGCAGGAAAAAGAAGGTAGAGACCAACTATGGTATGACAACAATAACCTGGATATAACAACACTTGAAAGGTGTCTGAGCTCTGGTTAACTATAATAACCAAGTAGCTGAACTCTGGTTAACTATAATAACCAATCTCAGGCATGGAGAAATGATACTGAAAGAGTCTTTTCTTCTCTCAGTAAAGAGATGGGGGCCCATGGATGTAGACTATGGGATGCACAATCAAAGAGCATCAGTCATTATCTGTTGGTAAGTCTTGCACAATTTGTTACAAAAAAGTGGAGTCTGAGGAAATGACTGATGTAGGACTGGAAAGCAATAAGAAAACATCAAAAATATATTGTTTTAAATGAATAGCTCACTCCCCAACTTTCCCTTGTATTTGACAGTTAAATCAAGATTGATTTGGTCAGGCTATGAGTGAAAACCGTTCAATGTTAGAATTTCTTTCTAAAAATGCTAGCAGGCAGATGGCACAAGGAGTGTGGTGACAAAGGAAACCTTGCCTAAAGATAACTTTCTGTTGCATAATCATGTTCAATCACTCCAAACCCCAATCCTCCTCCCAAATGGATGACACTAAGATTTAGATGTTTAAAAGCCCCACTACTGGCATAAACTTGGGAGTGGGGAGGGAATAGAGGTCCACCCGAAATGGGCAGCATGAAACTAACTCTTCTTTTGTGATCTTCCCGGCGGCACAGTGGCTGAAGAGCCAGCCCTGAGTACCCTCTCTGACACGTATAGACAGTGTGACCATGAGTAAGTCATTTAACCTTCTCAATACTCCAGGAAACTCTGACTGTAAATTGCTGAGAAGGTACTGCCTTACATTGATGCATTTCCTCATATGGAAGTTCCCTCCACCAATGAAATCATGAGTCCAGTCCCTATGCCTGTACCTGAAATATGCATTGATCCTATCCGTATGATCAATTTTCTCCGTGTTCCTTCTGTGCCTTAAATATCCAATAATTTCAGAACATGTCATAAACAAACTACTTTTTTCTGATGTTATTTTGTGATTTCTTTTTTTAGTTTCACATGAAACAAGCTGACATCTTTTACCAATCTTTATAAATTGTGACAGCATGAGGGTAGCAGTAGAAGCAACCTAGGTTTTGGACTTGGAGGATCCTGGGCAGTCCTGCCCTCACCTTTCCTAAGCTGTGTGACTGAGGGCAAGACACCTGACCTTGGGAAACTGAAGCTTCCTCATCTGTAAAATGGGGACTATATGTAATACCAGTACTATCTACCTAACACAGCCTGCCTCACCCGGCAGTTGTGGGGAAAGTGCTTTCTGAGAAGCATTCTATAAAGGTAGAATGAGTACCGGAAAACGTGAAAAGTTCATTTTAGGATCGCTAGTCTGCTATTGGGCTATTCTAGGATGACCCAAGGTCGAGGGAGAATTTGTTGCCAGCAGCTGCCTGCCTCTTAGCCTTTAGTGTGAATTGTATTCTCAAACACCTCCTTACTTGTGGTTTTCCTTACACCTCTTTTGGGAATGGCTACACAAACTCACACTGCGTTAGATGGTCTGTACACCCCAGCCCTATAAAAAAAAGATGTGCCCTCCCCTCGGGTTGGACTAGATGGATTTTTCCTCTTCCTCCAACTCTCATGTTCTTAAAGCTCATTATATGCAACACACACATCCTCCATGCCTTCTGCTGCTAAATAACTTCAGGCTGCTACAGAACCTCACGCTCACATTTATGAGAAAACAAAGAGTATACCAGAGGAAGAAAAAAGAAAAGGTCATCCCACAAATGTCCGTCCTCCTTCCCAGCTCCTAGCTGAAATAGGTGATTTCTCAAAGCCAGCCCTGCCACTGTATGAAACACCACTGACACACAAGATACGCAGCCTTTCCAAATATTCTCTCCCAGCCACCAGAAAAGACTAAGATGGTTCTCCACCAACACCATTTCCTTCCTCCTCCTCCTTCTCCGTTTTGCCCTCAACTTTTCATTTTCTCTCCTTTCCTTTCGTCATTCTCAAACCGAATTCACCAAAGGTCTGGATTCAAGAGAACCAGCAGGTGTGAGAACGTCTGCATCCCGATCCATCCCTGGGTTTTCCTGAACAGTTTTTAAAAGAGTGATTCTCACCTGGTGTCAAATCATCTGGCTGCCAATAATTGTTAACGTAGGTAAAATGCCCCCGTGGCCCTCCTAGGAAATGAAAATGAGAGATCCTCTCTCGGCTCCCAGCAAAGCTTTCCAAGACTTGTGAACTTTCCTGCAGAGGGAGAGCCCTCCCAGTGGCCCTGAGTGGGAGGGATGCTAAGGAAAGGGGAGGCAGCCCCCCCCTCCCCTGTCTCCCTCCCTCTCGTCTCCTCCTCTCCCAAGCCTGCACACAGCGCTCTCTCTACCTGCTGCCTCCCGAGAGCTCCTTCCCCAGGGAGGTGGGGTGCGGCTCCTCCCCCTGTTCCTCCCACCCTCTCTCCCCCCCCAGCTCAGGCTCAGCACCGCTGCCCTCACGCAGGCAGCGGGTTACTTTCCGAACGCAGCCTGCGCTCTACTCCCGGGAGAGACTGCCCACAGTGTCCCAGGCTCCTATCCCAGGGTGGGCCGCCCGCCCCCGGGATTCGCGGCTCAGCTGGTGCACCCCAAGACTCCCACCCCCGCAGTTGAGCATCCCTCAGCTTGCGACCGGATCTGGGGGCCTTGGTGAGCGTCCACCGCTACTGCTGGGGCTTCTCCCCTCCCCCCCGCCCCCGCAGGACCCCGGGCTCTCCTCCTCCGGCCCCACTCCCGGCCCCAAGCCTTTGTCTGGGGCTGGGTGGAGGGGGGGCAGCAGGCGCCCGGCAATGGGGAGCGAAGCCCGAACTCGGACACCCTCCATGCCAGGGGCCGCTCATCTGAGCCCGGGAACCCGGGGAGTCTCTAAGCAACCCACAAGTGACCTGGTCCGGCTCCCGGATCCGGTTACCGCCTGGCAGCACCCCCGATGTCCCCGGACCGGGCCCTGAGCCAGCCCCAAGGAGGGCAGCTGGGGGTAGGGGGCGCTGTCGGTGGGGGGCTGCATGCCCCGGCCGCTCCTCTCCATGGGGGCCGAGCGCAACTCCCCTTCCCCCACCTTCCGCTGGCTCCGCTCCCCCGCGGGCCCGGGACACACACGCACACGCACACGCACACACACGGTAAGCAAGAGGCGAGGGCTACATTACGGGGAAGAGGCGGCGCTGCTCCGGCTCTGTCCCGCCCGCCGTCCTGGTCCTCAAGTCCTGAGCCGCCGCCAGGCTAGCGCTCCGCAGTGGCTCAGGCGGCCCGCTGCCCGCCGCCCGCGCCGCTCCCTGGCCGGGCTGCACGCCGTGCACCGTGCGGCCGCCGCCGGGACGGGGAGGCGGGGCCGCGGCGCCCACCTGCTCGCGCTGCTCCTACTCAGGGCTCTGGAGGTGCCAGGCGGCCGCTGGAGGCACTCACTCCCTGGTCATGCCCGGCGACCTTGGCACACAGCGTCCCTGCGCGGGACTAGCATTCGGCGTGGGCCGGCCAAGCGTCCGCCCCTCCGAGCATCCCGCGGAGGAAAGGACTTGGCACCACCTGGTCCGACCCCACCCCCTCGTTTGGCCCACCCAGGGAGCCCACATTTAAACTCTAAGATTCCCCAGTCTCTTCCAATCTACCTCCTCCCCTCCCTTCGCTTCCCCAGAAGGAAAACGACTGGAGCAAGGTCACACAGGTCGCATTCGAGCTCAGGTCTTTGGATTGCACGTCGAGTGTTCTTACTGCACCACGTAGGAGTAAGCCTAGGACCTGGAGACCAAACCGTTTTCCTGGGATTTTGACATTGCCCCTCCTCTCCCCATCCTACTACGCAGAAGCATGGGGAGGGTGGGGAAGGCAGTAATTATCAAAACAACATGCTTTCACACCTACAGATATGTGTACATACATACAAGTGCCTTAAAGTTTGCAAAGTCCTTTACATACTAGCTCGTTTCTCCGTCCAGGAGGTTGTTTGTTGACTCTGCCTTTTGGAAGAGGCGGCAGGCAGTACAAAACAGACCTAGCAATTCTACTAGAGTAACTCCCAAGACTGGAGTACAACCCCGCCCCCACCCCCTCCTTCCCTCCTCCACATTCTAAAGCAACTGCTCTTACGATCTTGTCCATTGATCACTTGGTCCAGAAGGGCTTTGAAGCTGGCCAGGGGCCAGATTCCCTTAAGGATGCTTATTCATAACAGGACAAATGTCTACACTTGTGTGGGGGTCCCATATTAGAGGTAGGGTCTCTGGTGTCTCTCTAGAAATTCAGCCCTTCTGTTTCTTAATGTTCCTAGGGTGTGCATGGTTTTTGGTGTGGGGAGATGCTGAGGAGGACCTTTTCCTCCTGGTCTTGGAAGTGGCCCAAGAACCATTGTGGGGGGGTGGATGTGGGAGGAACCCGTTACCCTCCAGTCACCTTCCTCTCCTGGGCCCCTAAGCGAATGGAGACTGGTGCCAAGACTTCATATGGACCCATGCCGAGTGAAGTGAGCAGAGCCAGAATGATATTATATAATAACAGCAACATTGTATAATGTTATAAACAACATTGAAAGGCTTAAGGGCCCTCATCAATACAATGGCTGGCCATGAACTCAAAGGACCAGTGATGAAGACTGTTATCCTACCACCTGAAGGAGAGGTGATGGACTCATTGCAGGAGACATACATTTTTGAACATGTTCAATGTAGGAATTTGTTTTGCTTGGCTCTGCATATGTGTTAAAAGGGTTTTTATTCTTTTTTTTTTCTTCTGTGTGTGTGGGGACGGTAGGGATAGTGAGAAACAAAAAAAAAACCTATTTGTTAAGTGAAAAAAATTAATTTAAAAAAGAAAAAAAGGGCTGAGCTTAAGACAAGTAATACTTTGGGCAAAAATATTTTTTTTCTTTAACTTGCAAATAGGATATCTCACCCTGAGTACTGATGCTGATTGTTCTGATGTCCAGGACCATTGGAAACGTTATTGCTATGGGTTTAATGAAAGGAGGAACAAAATAAAAAGTAGGATCAACTGAGTGAGCTGGTGGCAATTTTCTGCAAGGTCTTTTTTCTCTCAGGCTGTCTAGAGCTGGTTGGGTAGAAGACTCTTACCTAGCCCTAACCCTACTGTCTGCAGCAGCTGCTGAGTTTTCACAGGAAAATAGTGCTGGCTGGGAGGAGTAAGGACACGGCTTGGGAGTGGGAATTGTGGGAAATCTATGGACCCACCCAGAGACAGCAGAGTATACTGGATCTGGAGTCAGGAGAGACCAGGGTTCAAATCCTGCTTATGACCCATTACTTCAATGAAAAAATAGCTGCTGGGGATGAGGATCAAATGGGATAATGTATATAAAGCACTAGATACATATTAGCTATAATTCATTATTCCCTTGCCTATAAAATTAAAGGGGTATGCTAGATCTAGCGACTTTCAGCCTTTCCAAATTGTTGACACATTTCTCTCCCCAAGGAACGTCACACTACAGACAACATGGCTGAACTTGCTTTTCCTTGTACATGACATTTCATCTCTTACCGCTATGTCTTTGTACAGGCTGTCTGCCATCCTCAGATACTCTCTTTCCTCACCTGTCTTGTGCCAATGCCTTCAAGACACCTTTCCTGATTGAAGGGAATTGGAAGGGCTTGCAGCAGCAGCCTAGCCCAGCTCACACCTGAAAGGAATCCCCACCGGGACGTGTGCCTGACAATGTACCCAGACACTTCTCAAGTTTTCCAATACAAGGACCTCCCATTGCACTCTGGGACAGCTCGAACTGTAGAGAAGTATCTGTTTCAGCACCTATCTCCAGCCCCAAGCACTTCTGACAGTTTTTGTATGTTCTTCGAAATGCTGTATCTCCTTCTTCCCTCCCCCCTAGAATTCAGGATCCTTGAGGGCAGGGACTGTTTCACTTGGGTGTTTGTATCTCCAGTACCTAGCTCAATACCTGGCACACAGTTGGCACATAATAAATGCTAGTCAATCAACTATTCCAGCACTAAAAGTAGTAAGATGAGGATAGCAGTTTCAACCTTTTACATTTATGTATCTCCAGTGCCTTATACAGAGTTAAGCACCTAATACAAATTTGTTTAATTGAATTAGATTCAAAATTCTATAGGTTAGTGAGAACTCTTGCATAGGACACCGAGTCTGTGAAGCCTTGTTCCCCTTTGGCCAGGATCTTGATTATTCATATGGACGTTGGAGCAGAGAAGTGCCCCAGCCATTTCTTCCAGAAATTGGATTGCAAGAAGGACTGAGCTTCTTCTTAGGGCTAAGGCACATGATAGTATAGGTAGGAGAATATAGATCCATTGAGATACTATATGTAAAGTGCTGGGCCAACCTGAAAATACTATAGAAATACTAGCTATTATTGTTAACAATAATAATAGCTAATATGCATATTGATTTATGTTAATATTAACAAAAGCTAACATGTATATAGCACTTTATATGATATACTACTACTGCTACCACTACTACTACTACCACCACCACTTCTACTACCTTTACTTTCCCCTCTCTCCCACAAAGTCCTGCAGGCAATCTCCTTCTAGATGTCATATTTTGTGAGACACATTTATATGTTGTCTCCTGGAAAAGCTGCGTTATAAGGTCAATCTTATAAATATTTACTGGTATGATATTTGTGAGACTTTGTCTCACAAAAGGCATGTCCCTTTTCAGCTTTGGGAAGTGATTTGCTAAACAAAACCTGCACGTTTTCAAAATGCCACATGATTTCCATCCCCTCCCTGTGTTTCTTGTGTGGCTGGCACTCTCTGGATACCCAAACATTTTTAAAAATAGGTTTTTATTGATATCTTTTGTTTTACATTGCCTAGATTCCCCCTGTATCTGTTGTCCACTCCCTCTCAGAAAGCTGACCCAAATAACAAGGAATTTTTTTAAAAAGAAGAAAAAATTGGCAGAGCTAACCAACTCATTGAAAAAACCTGACTTTCTATGCAATATTCCACACCTGTGGACCTTGACTTCTGCAAAGAGGTGGAAGGAGGTGTCTTCAACTAGTTCTTCTTTGGAGTCAAGCTTGTTTTTTATAATTTCACAATATTTATGGGGCAGCTAGGTGGCACAGTGGATAGAGCACCAGCCCTGAAGTCAGGAGGACCTGAGTCCAAATCCGACCTCAGACCAAACACTCGACACTTGCTAGCTGTGTGACCCTGGGCAAGTCAGTTAACCCCAATTGCCTAATAATAATAATAATAATAATTTCACAATATTTACTTTCCATCATTTCGTGGTGGTTATTCTTTCCACTTACATTGTTAAAGTCATTGTGTATCTAGTTTTCCTGGCTCTGCTCACTTCATTTCACCTCAGATCATGTAAGTCATTCCATGTTTCTCTGTATTATCTATGTTCGTTGCTGACGTATCTGTTGGGGAATGGTTCTTGTTCTTATATAATTATCTATCTCAGATATTAGACTTTTATCTAAGAAATTCACTGCAAAGATTTTCCCCTTAGTTAACTGTTTCCTTTCTAATTCTAACTGCATTGCTTTTCTGCAAGTAAAAACTGTTCAATTTTATGTAATAAAAATTGTCCATTTTATCATTTGGGATTATCTTTATTTCCTATTTGGTCAAAAGCTCTTCTTCAATCCTTCAAAAGTTATCTCCTTCCCTTTTCCTCTAATTTATGACATGGCATTTTTTTTATATGAAGGTATATATATGCCATTTGGAGTTATTGTGGTATATTGTTCAAGATGATGGCCTAACCCTAATTTCTCCTAGGCTATTTTCTACCTTTCCCGGAAGTTTTTGCCAAAAAGAGAATCCTTAACCCAGTATTAGGCATCCTCCGATTTAATGAACACAAAGCTACCATTACATTTGATTGCTTTGAGGTCTTGTGTGACTAAATTGGTTACATAAACCAACTTTTCTATTTTTTAACCAGTACCATATAGTTTGCAGGGCGGCTAGGTGGTGCAATGGATAGAGCACCCAGCCTGGAATCAGGAAGATATCTTCCTGAGTTCAAATCTGACCCTGTGTGACCCTAGCTGTGTGACCCTGGACAAGTCACTTCACCCTATTTGCTACCACTTGGGTATCTTTGCCAAGAAAACCCCAAATGGGGTTATGAAGATTTGGATACAACTGAAAAATGACTGAACAACCACAAAACCATATAGTTTTCATCATTACTGCTTTGTAGCATAGTTTGGGATCTGGTACTGCCAGGCCCTCTTCCTTCCCACTTTTTTCATTATTTCTCTGGAGATACTAGAACTTTTTATTCTTTTGTCTAGGTCTATAAAGTAACCCTTTGGTGGTTTGATTGATATGCCACTGAATCCATAAATTTCCAATAAATCTTATAATTCCATTAGCCCATAATTCTGAGTCTTCATTAA